ACGGAAAGTTTGGGTGTATTTTTTGAAACAGAAATCTGAAGTTTTTGAGAAGTTCAAGTTGTGGAAAGCTGAGGTAGAAAACCAAACAGGACGAAAAATCAAGTGTTTGCAGTCTGATAATGGTACGGAGTACACAGATTCACAGTTCCTACAATTCTGTAAGGAGCATGGGATTCAGAGGCATTTTACAGTGCGCAAGACACCACAACAGAATGGTGTTGCGGAACGAATGAACAGGTCGTTGAATGAAAGAGCCAGATGTTTGCGGTTGAATGCGGGGCTTCCCAAACACTTCTGGGCTGAGGCTGTTAACATGGCGTGTTACCTTATCAACAGATCGCCAAGGGCATCGCTGGCTGGGAAAGTTGCAGAAGAGGTATGGACTGGTCATGATGTTAGTTTTGATAACTTACGGATTTTTGGTTGTCCTGCTTATGTGCATGTACCTGCTGATGAGAGATCCAAACTTGATGCAAAATCGAAGGAGTGCATTTTTTGGGTTACAAGAAAGGTGTCAAAGGATTCAAGTTCTGGGATCCAGTTGCGAAGAAAGTTGTGATTAGTAGAGATGTCGTTTTTGATGAACAGTCTATGTTGCAGCAGAAGCAAGACACGACAGTGGTAGATTTCGAGCAGTTTCCAGTTGAGAAACCAGAAACTTCTCAACCGACTTCTGGTGGTTCCACTACGGATGATTTGCAGGATTATAGTCTCGCCAGAGACAGGGTGAGACGGACGAATATAAAGCCTCCGAACAGATTGGGTTTTGAAGACTTGGTATCTTTTGCACTTACTGTTAGCAGTGATGATCCAGTTACTTTTCATGATGCCGTTACTAGTCAGGAAAACGACAAGTGGATGGCAGCCATGGTTGAGGAGATGGAGTCTTTGAATCACAATCGCACATGGGAGTTAGTTCCCCTTCCTGAGGGTAAGAAGCCGATTGGTTGCAAATGGGTGTATAAGAAGAAACCAGCAGTAACAGAAAAAGAGGGGGAGAAGTTCAAGGCTCGTTTGGTAGCGAAGGGTTTTTCACAGCATAAAGGAGTTGATTATGATGAAATCTTTTCTCCTGTGGTCAGGCACACTTCAATCCGAGCAGTACTTGCATTGGTGGCTAGTTGGGATTTGCATTTAGAGCAGATGGATGTTAAAACTGCTTTTTTGCATGGTGATTTAGAGGAGCAGATCTACATGCGGCAACCTGAAGGTTTCACTCAACCTGGAAACGAGCATTTAGTTTGCAGATTGAAGAAATCTTTGTACGGGTTAAAACAGTCTCCGAGACAGTGGTATAAACGGTTTGACTCCTATATGATCAAGATTGGCTACAACCGATGTGAGTATGATTGTTGTGTCTATGTTAAGAGCCTTGATGATGGTTCTTTTATTTTTCTATTACTGTATGTTGATGATATGTTGATTGCTGCGAAGAACATGGATGATGTTATCGGTTTGAAAACTTTATTGAGTCAGGAATTTGATATGAAAGATTTAGGTGCTGCAAAGAAAATTCTTGGAATGGAAATTTGCAGGGACAGAGACTCAAGGAAACTGCGGCTATCTCAACGGGGTTATGTTGAGAAAATGCTAGAAAGGTTTGCGATGAGCAGCGCGAAACCAGTTAGCACTCCATTGGCGAATCACTTTAAGCTCTCATCAGAACAGTGCCCTAAGACAGATAAGGAAGCTGAAAATATGACAAAGGTTCCGTATTCTAATGCTGTTGGTTGCTTGATGTATGCGATGGTATGTACTCGCCCTGATTTAGCTCATGCTGTTAGTCAAGTTTGTAAGTACATGTCTAAACCTGGTAAGCAACATTGGGATGCAGTCAAGTGGATCTTTCGGTACTTAAAGGGTACTGTGGGACATGGAATTATTTTTGGGAGTCAGCGGGATAATCCTTTGGTTGTAGGATATGTGGATTCAGACTATGCAGGTGACTTGGATAATAGAAGATCTACGACAGGGTATGTGTTTACTCTTGGTGGAGGGCCTATTTGCTGGAAGTCTACTGTTCAATCTGTCGTGGCACTATCTACAACTGAAGCTGAATACATGGCAGCGGCTGAAGCTGCAAAAGAAGCTTTATGGCTTACTGGTTTAGTGAAGGAGTTGGGTGTTCAACAAGGTGGAGTTCAGTTGCTTTGTGATAATCAAAGTGCTATTCACTTGGCTAAGAATCAGGTGTATCGTGCTAGAACTAAACATATTGATGTAAGGTTCCACAAGATCAGAGAGTTGGTTGCATCTGGAGAGGTTTTGTTTCAGAAGGTACATACTGATGAGAATGCCGCTGATATGTTCACCAAGCCAGTTACGACAGACAAGTTCAAGCATTGCTTGGACTTGTTGAATGTTTCGAGTTGTTAAAGAAGCAAGGTAACCCAACCCACATTGAAGTTTCCAAGGGGCAGGATATTCGCCAAGGTGGAGATTTGTTAGGTATGGCTCATAAATATACCAGTAAAGAGGACAGGAGATGGAGCGGAGTGAGCGAAGTGAACATCAACTGTCCTTACAAAGAAAGTCTCGTTGTGGGGTTACAAATTATGTGGGTTGGGGGTGTGGGGGCGCAGCCCCCGCGGTACGGTACAGGGTTGATTTTGTAATTATGTACCAGGGTTTTCTATTATAAATAGAGATGTAACCTAGACCTAAAATATCATTGAATAAAATTCTAGCGCCGCCTAGGCACCGAGGACGTAAGCACATTGCCGAACCTCGTAAAATTCTCGTGTTCTTTCGTTTTCTTTACCCGTTTTCGTCAACAATACTGTTGAAGATATTAACTCAAGCTTGTGAGATCTTTTTGCCAAGCTTAACCATTCATAATCAAACTTCTGTATAAAAAAAAACATAAAAAAGTCAAAGAAGGTTCTCCAAATAAATAAAAATGATACTATAACAAAAATCTTGGTTGTCTTCTATGAGCAAGGCAAAGGCAATGTCTCACACGGGATTATCACGTGCGGACCGGTCCTCTTTGTACCTGACATGTTTGTAAAATATTTTATCAGCAGAAAGAGATAATAGCAGCGAGCAACGACCGGAAGACGAAAGCATGGCCCCGTTGTTTGGTAATAGTGTTGTGTGTCATGGTCCCCGTGCAGACCTAAAAACAATTGCATGGTGATACAACTAAAGTTTCCACACGTGACATGGATAAGATTTTTATTCTTTTATATGTCTACGTGGTTTTATTTAATTATTTAATTTATCTGTATTTTCATGGACCAAATGTTATGGAGAAAGTTTAATTATCATGTACAGAACAATCTGAACTTTCCCTGTGACCTGAATTATTTGATGTCTTTTCCTTTTTAACAATCATCCATAGGATCCAGGGCTAGGGCTTATCAATTTATATAATTTATTTATGTTAATATTAAAAAATAAGTTTTATTTCACAATTAAATTGTTGGAGTTGACTTTTTTCAAGTATATTATGTAAAAATATAATAATAGTATGATTATACATGATTTTAAATGGTGATATATATACATAACATATAGATAGCAGAAAATGTATAAGAGTATAATAAATTTATAACATAACAAACAATAATTGCATACTTTATCAAAAAAGAAAATGGTAATAATAAGCTATAAAATTAAATCAACTTAAGTAATTATACACATCATTTTGATTAATAACCTTAAAAATTATATTTAATTTTAATTCAAATTATTTAGATTTTGAATCAAGTAATTTAATGACCGACTTGATTCGAAAATTTTAAGATATTAACATTTTCTTATAAAATAAAAATGGATTGAGTTCAAGTTTAAGTCAATTAAATTAGTGTTTTGAGTTATAAGGATATGATTTGTAATCGTAAAATGTTTTCTTATTAGGGTTTTATTTTTCTTTGTACTTTTAACATTATCATCAAGTGTCACGAAATCTGATAAGATAATGATAAGAAATTACAAATCGAAAGAAAATAAAAGAGTGGACTCACATTTTTTTTAGGTGAAAACCTTAGACGAAAAAAAAATATCACGAGTGAACGAGAAAATTTTACTATTGTCTAAAATAATTCTTCAACAAACAAATATCACACTTGAAACTTTTCAAATCATATCAAATAAAATTCAGGCTATCATCTCTTACATTCGAGATTATATCCTGTTCAACATTAAATTAAAGCAGACTCGATATACCAGTTGATATCTTGTGTTGAGAATTAGAAACCAAAGATTAGCTCCAACATATCTTTAGGACAAGTACTGGAGAATGCGTGGCAGATGAGTGTAAAACTGAAACGTTAAGGAATATGCAAATAGATAGATAGCTTAGCTGTGAGCAACATTTTAAAGGGACCAAGAGTTCCTGGAATTTAGGCAGATGTTTGGACAATTCTGAGAACTTTCAGAACTGAATTGAAGCTATCTAAAACGCTCAAGTATAATAGATTAATCCCCTATAGAATGGAATAAGGGAAACCATTGAAGCAGTTTTGGTAATATGGGTGCGGAGCACGAGACAAAACATGTGGGATTAGCATGCTGTGTTTTTAGTTTATTTACATTCATTTATGTATTTTCTACTTTCAAGTTTGAACTTGTCACTCAGATTCCTTTGCAGTGTCTTGAGTTTTGGGCTTTAGTTTATTTTTCTTAGCTCGATAACAGAAATAATTACTACTCCTTGTAACTGAATACGATACTATTAAGATAATCACGAATTCTGAATATAAATCGTAAAACGAAAATTTAGATACATTCATGAAAACATGCATGCCTCTCCCATCCTTCAAAGTTCAAGTTTTTCATCAATGGCCGACCATTTGTCTTGGGTTGGTAATTCCCACAAAATACTGCATATGATTAAGTGTCATATTCATTGATAGACAAAGAAATGGAGTCTTTTATTTTATTTATATTTTTTGTTTTTAGATCTTGGGAAGCTGAGGTGCAAGAATCTGGACCACACCCTCCCTCTATAAAAAGCCCTACAATCTGCTCTCATTTCAAACAATCTAACACAACAACATTTTCATACTTTTTCCATTTCCAAAAGATCGAAGAGAGATAAATCAAAGGAGAAACTATCAACACCATGAAGATAAGCTTAAGCAGTTGTACTACTAGCAGTGCAGCAGCAGCCATGGGAGAGTCCAAAAAGAAGGTTTCATGCAGAAGGCTTGGAGGGTATCTCAGACAACAAAAAGGAAGGATTTACATTATCAGAAGATGTGTTGTTATGCTCCTTTGCTGGCATGATTAAACAAGTATTTGCTGCAAGCTTGGAGCTGATGAAGTTTTCATCCATCTCTGCCAGTATCTGAGTATTTTTGCAGCTAATTTAGGCTTTCTTCTTGTTATCTAATTGTAAATAGCAAAATAGGTTAGGGCTTTAGTGAGCTTTATCCTACCCTTCAACTGGCTTTTCAGACTAAAAAATTCCTCATGTTGAATAAGATAAACCCTATAACATCAGCCTTATTTACGATATTATATATAATTTCCTTATATTTCTCTTTATTTTGCAGAAGTTTAATCACTTACATTCATGTGCAGTGTTTTTACTGAACTGCAAGTTTTAGGGTTTAATGGAAATACGTATCGTTTCGTTAAATAACTCATCAGGAACAAATTCAACATTTCATCAATGATTGTGTCAACATAATCCAGCAAGATGAAGTTGGGATATTCCAAAAGCCAATCCAGAAAGGAAAACAATGAGCTTGCAAAGAAATTATAAAGGTTTATAAATGAGAAAACTTCATGCATCAAACGCATGCACCAAATATTTTTTTCTTGATCCCTTAATCTGATAATATTACAACTTTGTATAATGTGTATGGTATGCATAAAAGAGATTTTGGACATAGAATTTGGTTAAACATGAAGGAGACATGAATCCTATGAATGAGTATCCGAATGCCCCTTTGGTTATATAGGTGACTTGGACTAAGGTAATCCATATACCATGGACAAGATATTTTGACAAATTGATGAAGAAAATCATAATAAATAAATAAAATTTCTCATTTCAGTAGTGTGTCCCAAAGGAAAAACACCAAAGTATTTTAATGATTATGGCATAAACTTTGTCAAAGTTCATTCTGGAACACTTTATGGAAACAAGAGGAAATGATCGGCTCAATGGTTAATGGTTGGCCCGGTACACTAATAAGTCTGGGGATTCTTAAGCTTTAAGACCCAACTTATGGGTTAAAGATGTTACATATTTATTCAAATTTTAATCGATGATTAAATTGATTTTTATTATAATTCTAGTATTTATTGTAAAGATAAGTTTTATAGGACGTTGGAAGAATGTTTTGTGATACATTAAATTTTAGGATATATATCGAGTTGAGAATTCCATGCATTTATACTATTTATGATCTATGTGTTTATATTGGTTTGTTTCTCTCCTTTGTGGATTATACAAGGTCTAACTACATTAAATCTTGTCTTTTACATATGTCTTATTCTATGTTGATCTCGTTTTTTTACACTTATGAATTCCTAATAAGTGGTATCATAAGTCGTGATTCGAGTTATTTAATTTTGAAGGAACATTTTATTACACAATTTGTTAGCAATATTTGATACATACAAAATGAGTTTTATTGCAGCGAGTTTATGAAGAATCTAAGATTACGATGGTTTATTAATAAATTTGCACGATCAATTGACAGTGGAGGTCACAAGAAGCATTATAACTCGAATCCAAGCCGATCAATGACTCAATGAAGTTTGGTCTGAGACCTTGGTTTTAATTTAGTGGAATTTAAGTTTACTTTTGAAAAATCTAAAATGAAAAAAGAGAAAAGGAGAAGTCTAATTAATGTCGTTGTTGGTCGAAGAATAACAGTGATTGATTACTAGCGATGGTGGTTTGATCAATAGTTCATTTGAATTTTTCGTTTATAAATAAAAGAATGTATACGTTTTGACATATTATTGCGACGGTCGACAATGATGATAGTAATAGTGTTTTTTAAAAAAAGTTTTATGGATTTTTTTTAATGAAACAAGAGGAATAAAATACACGAATTAAAATGTTGGTGTCAAAACACAGTCATCAGTTTCTTGTTGTACAAAATCGACGATCTCTATTGACGGAGTAGTGAAAACCATATGGACTTCACCCATCGCTGTAGCTAATTTCACTAACATATCAACCACCTTGTTTGCATCCCGATAAATATACTTCAAAACCACATTTCAATCCCGATGTATCAACTCCTTAATACAATCCAGAATTAAAAACGTAAAAAAATAAAGTTATTTTAATAAAATTAAATATACGTGGAAAAAACATAAGAATAAATTAATGAGTGGATATGTCGGACTTCCGTGACCTAGAGAATGGTTTTGCGCAAATCTAACGGAAAATCCTAAAAATGGCGAAAGACTGGAAAATCCTCTAAACTCCATTGAATTCAATTCCTCTCTGAAGGGTTTTGCGCAAATCTAACGGAAAATCCTAAAAATGGCGAAAGACAGGAAAAGGTCACATTCGCAGCGCTCCCCATCACCCCCCAAACCCTCAATTTTCCCTTCCTACCAAACCGCCCCTAACCTCAACCCCAAAGTCAAACTCCTCTGCGAAATCATCTCCACCACGCCCTCCGCCTCCGTCGAGAGCCTTCTCGAAGACACCGGCCTCCGCATCACCCAGCACGACGTCGAAAACGTTCTCAGCCTCTCCTACTCTTTCCCTTCACAAGCCGTCAAGTTCTTCCGTTGGTCGGGCCACGAACTCCAACACCAACATTCCCCTTACTCCTGGAACCTCGTCGTCGACCTGTTGGGAAAAAACGGCCTCTTTGATGCTATGTGGGACGCCATCAAGTCCATGAAAAACGTAGGGTTAGTTTCTTTGGCTACTTTTGCTTCTGTGTTTAGTAGTTATGTTAGATTTGATAAAGTTAAGGAAGCTGTTTTGACTTTTGAAGTTATGGATGAGTACGGTTGTGTTAGGGATGTTGTTGCTTTGAATACTTTGATTAGTGCTATTTGTAGGGAGGGTAAAACCATTGATGGTTTGGAGTTTCTAAGAGTGGCTAAAAGTAGGATTAAGCCGGATTTGGATAGTTACGCCATGTTGCTAGAAGGGTGGGAAAATGAAGGGAATGCTAGTTTAGCAAAAACGACTTTTGATGAGATGATTGCGGAAGTAGGGTGGGATCCCGGGAATGTACCGGCTTATGATTCGTTTTTGAATGCTTTGATTAAAGGGAAGGATGGGATTAGTGAGGCTTTGAGGCATGTCGATATACTGCTAGAGAAGAAGTGTTATCCAGGGATGAAGTTTTTTAGGGATGCACTCGAGGATTTTCAGAAAGTTGGTAATGTTAGGGGTGCTGAGTTGATTTGGAAGACGATGGTGGAGAAAGTTGGGATTCTACCTGATACAGAGATGTATAATTCGATGATCACTTTGTATTGTTCCAAGAATTATACTGATATGGCGAAGAAGATGTTGGATGAGATGGTTTTCACTGGGGCATTTCCGGATGCGCAATCATATGATGTGTTGTTTCATTTCTTGATCAAGAATAGGAAGTTGAAAGATGCTTCGATGTTGTTCAACGAAATGGTTAAAAACGAGTTTTTCCCAAGTAAAGCAGATTGCGTTGCAGCGGTTAAGATTTTTCTTGACATTGGAGACCCATATGTGGCTATAAAAGTTTGGAAATTCATGATAGAGAATTATGATTCTGATTTGGAGCAGACTGGAAATATATTGATTAATGGGCTTCGCGATGCAAACATGCTTCCTGAGGCAGTTAAGTATGCTGAGGGTATGATTGAGAAGCGAATAAAGGTCACATCAGCAACATTGTCTAGACTGAAACACAGCCTTAGCAAAGAAAAAAAAGACGGGGTATACGAAGAACTTTTAAGAAAATGGAAATCCTTTTAGTCTTATCGGAAGTGCTTGAATTACGCGTTAGCTCAAATGAGCACTGGAAATCCGTATTTTGTTTCTCAAAGTGAGCAGCACAGTTTGAACTTTGAATTTATTTCATTCTTATCTGTAGGTTTGATTCACTGCTCATTTTGTATGCTGGCCCTAGCTGTTGTGCCAATAGCCCGGTATTTCGAAAACCATAGTTATGTCGCTGCGAACTAGATCACTAAATACTTGGATACTTGTATAATCATTTTATGAATACAGGTGATTATAATCAGTTTAACGGTTTTGCATTTGCATATGACATCCAATACGATAAGAATTTCCGGATAATACGGTTGAAACTATCTTGTTTACATGCCTATTTTTGTTGTGTTTTTAGACGCTGGTCGAGTTAGGGAAGATTGAGGAAACCTCTTGAAATATGGTTAGTGGGAAAACTTGAGCAAACTGTGCAATTGTTGCCAAATGGTTAGTGAGAAATATGCTTCAACAACCGTTCCCAGGCCACCAAATGCATCAAAATTCATACAAACGTTATTCTTTATTGTTTGAATCTTGCTATGAGACACAATAATTTATGTAGTATAGTCTATTTATATATTTATACCACTAAAGAAATGAAAAACAATATATGCCTTTCAATATGATATAACCTTGAAAATTACAAAGTCTTCCATTAGAAAAACACTACCCTACAAAAACTAGTAGAAAAGCAGAAAGATATAATTGGAGTTACACAACTGGAATTGTCCTTTTAATTCGGGCGCATCTCGTCTCATCAATTCGTTCAGATTGCATGAAACTCGGTTCAATCATCTCCATTCTCTTCAACTACTCGAGTAAACTCAGTCCTCACACGACGGCGGCGAGTTGCCAAGCTGAGGTGGCAATAAGCGGTCTTGTATGCCACCCAAGCGTTAAACACCCATCATTCTCCTCCACTCTGTACTCGTCACCTCCAGCAAACAGAGCCAACAGCATGCTGGCTTGCTTGTAAGCATTTGAGCCCAAGTGAACTGGACAGAAGCCGGATGTTTCCATCCGAAACCTCCACTGAGCCAGCGTCTCATGTCGTTCAACTCGCTCTACCCCTTCACAAGCAACCACATTACAAATCTGTCTTCCCAGATACAACTCTGACATAACCAGGTCCTGACTTGGTGGTGGCGCCACCCCTGAGCCTTCTAACGAGTCAAAAAGGCTAGAATAGTAATGTAGAGCTTCAGTGAAGCGGTCTACGAAAACAGGACTGTTATGATTCGCTTCTTCTTCTACAATCGTGAGAATTTTGGGCTTCATGGTTTTGATCGACGAAAGAACCTTTTCTATCCCACCAGGTCGAGCAAGAAGACGGTGAAGTTCGAAAACGGAATTTACTGCCAGCGTCTCAACCTCAGGAGGTCGGATATCGAGCATTTTGGGCTCGAGATCTGCCAAACTATTGACCATTAATCCCCTGAACTCAAATCTGACGCCAATAGTTTCAGCTAACTGAGCTAACTTACATCCCACTTGCTGCAAAGCATCGGTATTATCCGGTTGATGAGGGCCAATGCCCGTCAACCTGAAAACAGGCGGCCCACCTGGTCTTAATGCAAGCTCTTGCATTAAAGCCGGCCATTGCATCCCCTGATTTAACCCGAAATCAACAACGTGTACTCTGTTTGACGTTGCAAAAGCTTCCAGTATTGCTTGATTGGCTGTAAAATGAGCGAATTTCAAGTAAGGGCAAGTTTCGTAGAAGTACATCTGCAGCATATCAGTGTAGGAAGGGTGAAGCGAGTCTTGTGGGTAAACGCCATAGATTCGACGAGCTAAGGCTTCAGCAAAATACGTAGCCACTTTCCTCATGGCACCAGCTTGAGACGCGGCAAGTAAGCCTATATGTTTGACTAAAGCATCAGCCAGCTTGAGATTCTGTTGTTGGACAGCTTCCGCACAAGCCATCAAGGTGTGAACCAGTCGAACCCCAGCTTCCTGTGAGTCAACCAAGACAACAGGCCGAGTTGATGACTCAGTTGGTGGTGAAGAAGATGAATCAGTTCCCGTGGAGGTTTTGATCCGTTTTGTTTGTGGATAAGCAAAAACCCCGGGAATTGCCCTCAGATCGTACTCGGAATCATCGTTATAAACCTGGGATTGGTTGTTGCTAACAATTTGTTGCTTTTGCTGTGTCTTTGAAGAATTGGAATCCGAATTAGGGAGAACAGGATTGTTCAACTCAGTCAACATGCTTTGAACCCAACTCGAAAGATCCGAAGGATTGTAATGAACTCTATCAGAAGCAAGATGTGAAATCCCATCTTCTTGAGCAGTTCCCATAACCATATCCAACTGTTCCATTTTTTGAGCCACATCCGCCATGTCTGAAGACCGAACTTTGTAACCCAAAACGGCCATTAGCTCGTCCATGTCGCCGGCATCTTGATCTTCTTCCCATAATTTCCCTTTGTTAGTGATTGAGCTCTCACCCTTTGAGCCACTGCTAATTCCACAACCACCGCCGCCGGCTCCACTGATAGCCTGATGATCTCTCTTCATTTTTGGTTTTTGGGGAGTATGGAACGAAAATCCAAGGCTAGGATTTGATCATGGTAAGGAATTGAAATCCGGGCTACGATTTTTCTTGAATTTTAGCTTTTTCTATTGATTCAAAGAAAGAAAGAAAACTGAGAGAAAAATAGGGGGGGATATGGGTGGAACGGAGGAAATAGGAAAGAAGAGATAAGGAACAACGAAGGCCATAATAATAATGCATTTTCTTCTTTTTCTTTTTATGCTTTAATTTCTTAAATATTTTCCTGATGTTGTTTGGCATCCAATTGTAATATAACCATTTATTTAATAATAGATTAATTTAGACCAGATAGTATATAAATTTATTGCGAAATTATTTTTAATGTATATTTTTTATAATTTAAAGAATTATTTTTTATTAGTATGAATGATTATTAGGTAATATTTATTTAAAATTTTTCTTAATTATTGACGACGTGTACACACTTTACAAAATTAATTACTCGAATTTAAAATCTTTAAAAATAACAACACTTCTTTTCAGTATTGAGATCATTATTTAAACATTAAAATAATTCATAATTTGATTTAGTATTGAAATTTCAATTTTATTATTAAATATATATTAAAAATATAATAATGTTATGATAATAATAGAAAACTTTAAAATATTTATTAAAATTTTAAAATTAAATAACTATATTATTTAACTACTTATAAATTGTTTTTCGTCATTAGTGCATAAATAATAATTTTTAGTATAATTTTACGTATTTTAAAATGATGTACAAATCAAGTGGCCTTTATGGTAATAAAATTGTTGTTATTTCTTGAAGACTTTGGTTTAAGCACTATAGATGTTAGAGATGTGAGCTTTTTTTTTTGTTTAATACAGCTGAATGGGTCTCTTAGAAACCCTTTTTATCGGCTCTAATTATCTCCTCAGCTTCCTTAGGGTAAATGTGTAGAAAAACAGAATCTTCTCGTTGGTTCCTCATTTGCTTGGCGATGATGTCTGCGACTCGGTTGGCCTCCCTCGGTATGTTCTGAATCTTTACTTCCCAATTCTTTTTGAGCATATTATCTATGTGTTGAAGTATTGTTAGTTGTCTGTGTTCGGTCGATCTATTGTTTATCAGTTTTACTGCTTCCTTGTTATCTGATTTCAGTATAACTTTTCTTTCTCCTTTTATCCATGCCATTTTTAAACCTTCATGAATACCCCAGAGTTCTGCTTCTAAAAAGGAACAAAATACCTATTTTCCTGCCAAATCTCCAGAGCCAATTACCTTCGTGGTCTCTAGCTATTATTTCACATGCTGCATCTCCATCATTCTGGTTTCTTGTTCCATCAGTGTTTATTTTACAGTAGTTAATCTCTGATTTTTTCCATCCATATTAGACATTCTTCCTGGTTTGATTAATCCCAGTCTTTATGGTTTTTGAATTTTCAACCTCTTGAGTAAGTCTCAATGCCAGTGCACTCGTTGACATTTAACGAGATTAAAATACCAGTGCACTCGTGACATTTTTATGACTATATATTATAGAGTGAGATTTTGTAACTAAAGCATTGTCATAAATCATTGGAAATGCAAGAATAATAACATTAAAATTAAAAATAACTATAGTTTAATTGCTTAACTAATCTTACTTAATCAACCTATGCATATATTGATTGAACTCAATTAATAATTGACGTTCTTTTTAATTTTCAAAATTACTTGAAATTTTTTAGTAATAAGTGGATTAATTTTTAAGTTTGAATTAGATCTTTTGATTCTATATAATATATGCATATCATATATGAAAAATATACGAAGAAATATACATGTATTATATATGGTTATAAAAAATCATTTAAATTAAAATTAAATAGTATCATAATATTATAAAAATTTACAATTAAGTTTAAACAGAAACTCAAAAACTCGAATCGGCTCGAAAAAATTTCAAATCGAGCTTGAGTTATAAAATAAGACTCATCAACTTGAATAACTCGAAAATTTTTAACTCGACTCGATTGAACACTCACCTCTATTTAGAACTCATTATCTAATCAATATACGAGAACAAAGATAAATAGTTTGACTAATGACCAAATGAATTTGATCTAATTTATATCATTTTTGAAATAGTAAAATTTAACAATATACATATTTTATATTTATATCATATTTACGTTCTTATTCTTATTTTATTCGTCACGTAAACTTAATCTTTCATTTTAAAGTACTAATAAACCATACAATAGGAATTGTAGCAGAGTCGCAATTCTATACCTATGACCATTTAATTATTGTCTATTTGTACTTTGATCATTGATCTTTATATTTTATCAATTAGATTATTTAATTATGTCAATTAAATTATTGGTCGCTAACATTTGGAGGATATACTGACGTTGCAGTTAATAAAAATAGCATAATTATAAACTTAACCTCAATACTTACATATTTTTATTAATTTAAGACTAAACTCTTTAAAACTTAAAACTTTAATATTTTAGCCAACCCAAACCTGATTCAAAATACATACTCAATTCCTTTTTTTTTTTGGATAAATAAATAAATGATATAACCCAAAATAAGAAGTGTTTAGCTACAATACAGTCATCAGCGTGAAATCAGGAAACAACCTGCGTGCAAGCAGAATAAAGATTAATCAATACACCATTGGTTACAAAGAGAGATGTTAACTCTATCCTGTCATACTCAATTCTTTATTCAAACCTGACCCAAATAAAAATAAAAACTTCAAATTTGACCAAACTAGAGGGGTCAATAAAATAAAAAATGAAAACGAGATAGATAACTTTTCAAAATTAAGCATATTAGAGGAATAAAATCATAATTTGACACGTAAAAAAATCTATAAGGATGTGCCACACACGCGTCAGCCGCTCTGAAATCATCATTATTCAACTTTACCGATTAAATTTATTAAAACATTATTATTTCTTTGTCTTTTAATATTTTCGATAAAGTGTTCAACAATAACAAAATCGGTAGAAAAAATAACAAAATCAATAACTTTTTTAACCGTATATTAGAGCTGCCGCACGTAATCATTTTCCTCATAAAATATTGTCTAGATTACTATAAACGTGCGTCGATAGATTTAAATTAATTAAAAATTAAATTTAACACCTAGTTTTTGGCAATTTTCATGAGATCACAAGAATAAAAATAATAATATAACCATGAATAAAATTGGTAAAAATAGTTTTATTTCACATTAGAACATTTTCAGCTAAGCTTTATTGGCCGGTGGTATTGGGCTTGCCTGAGTAATGATAATTTTATCTGGACTACACTTGGACAAAACATTGAACCTTTCTTGGATTAGGGCTGGCCCATGGACAAGTTAATGCCCAGCACGGTTAATTTTAAATTTTAGTCCCTTCAAAAACGCAGCTTTCAAACCTCATAGCCGAAATCAGAGGTGGAGGCAGGGGAAATGATCCTATTTAAATGGTTAAATTTCAATTTTAGCCCCTTTAAAATGAAAAGCTATGAAGTTAATGATAAAATTAAATAGTTTCAGTTTAAACCCCCTCAAAATTATATAAATATAAAATATAAGTTAAGGAAAAAGGTAAACTTATATTTTGAACTTCCACAAATTTATAATTTAATTTTAGACCCAAAACATTTTTACCATAAATTAATCTCGCAATTCTTATTAGGTTTCGTAAAGTTATAGAGTTTTAATTCTTATCAGGGACGATTATGATTCATTAGTCTTTCTTTACATCAAGCTGAGCCTCATTAGTCCCCACATGTGTTAACCAAAGGTAGAGCCGAAACAGATTCTGAAATTGGGCAACAAAATTTGATGGACGAAGCCAAAGTTCCCAAGCTTCCATATCTTAAAAGCATCATACACGAGACCCTTCGATTGCACCCAGCAGGTCCACTTCTACTCCCACACATGGCATCGTCCGATTGCACCCAGCAGGTTTTTTCCTTAAATCCATCAATTAACGGATGCCTAATGATTCGCATCCAAGAACCAACTTTTCAAACAAAACAAGATGAATAAAACGAATACCGGATCGGTAATTGAATAAGTTAGATCATTAACTTTTAATTTAATCAAATGAATTATTAATTTTTAATTTAACCAATTTTATGGGTGGTGGGGGGAAGCCAAAGAGAGGACCATGACAGCAACATCATTTTGTACCATAAAATTGTAAAAAAAAAAAAAGAAGAAGAAAAAGGGGTTTCTCAAGTCACCATCAAAGTCCCCCTAATTTTTCCCACTTTAATCTTCTTTATTCTTTTAGGGTTCCCATAGTGTCTGCCACTGTTTGACACATCATTCCCTTCACTTGCGCTTTAATTATAAAACCAAATAGAATCCCAAGTTGTTTCCTTTATAATATAAATAATCCCACTGTTACCACCTTTATACTATGCAAATCTTTTTTTTCTCAGAAAAAGTATTATGGGTTCTTTACAAGTTTTGCTAAGTTTAACATAATGCAAATCAATGGAGCCAATTATGGTTGAATAGGTTGGCACCTCTCCTTAAGAAATTCCAACACTGAAGAGCGCCTGTCTGTCTAAAGGAAAAAGTAGTGTTGTGGGCCAACTCCCAATAACACATAAAAATGGCCCGCCCACCGTACTCACATGCGGAGAATGGTGGGCCAATCTTTTGCGCGTGATGCTGCCTAAATCAAATGTAAGTGGGCCCTCACCCACTCTTTGCTTTTATCATCTCCCTTTACACATAAATACAATTGCTTATACACTCGGTCTTAATTTAGTTAGTATTGTAACTGTTAAAAGGCATAAGAAAAATGACTAGAGAAACAAATAACTCGAAACCTTAGCAAACATCTTTTATGTCTTGTTTTTTTTTCCATCTGATTTTGTAGCAAGAAGACAATAGAAAACATTCCATGGCTGCTGGCAATAAGTTCGCAAGTTTTTTGCATAAACACACCAGCAAAATCACTGTCATTTTAGTCTACGCACTCCTTGAATGGATCCTCATCTTCCTCCTTTTACTCGACTCTTTGTTCACTTACTTGATTACAAAGTTTGCCAATTATTTTGGCCTTAAACCACCATGTCCCTGGTGTTCTAGAGTGGATCATGTCCTGGAATCGAACAACAACTCGAGCTCTTACCGGGATCTTGTCTGTGAGAAACATGGTTCCGAGATTTCGAGATTGAGTTACTGTTCCAGTCATGGG